TTCATAATTGAAACAGTTAAAACAGTAAACTTCTAATGATACAATGGACTGTGAACTTACTTTGTATTAATTAAACTCAATGTAATGGCATTTTCTATATTGAAATGAATAACCAGTGATCTGGAAATTCATTTAGACCATTAGGTTAATTACAGAAACTGATGGAAGTTTTATCAGACAATTACAATTAAAGAACACGAACAATGTGGGACAGATTTATAAGCATTTGTACCACCTCAATCATTTTTGCTGAATGCCACCACCACTTCTTACAAAATTGTAATCAATATATCAATTAAAAAATGGGCCATAAACTTCATTTGCCCTTGAGTATGATAAAAATAAATTAATATCCGGTTTCTGCATTTTCATATTTTTTCTTCTTTTAATTCTATCACTTTATTGCAATATGAAAGATTTATTTATTTTTAATAAAAACGAAAATTTATGGAAAAAGAGCATGTATATTTTAGAGCTGATAAGCATGCTTACTGAAGATGAAACAACTCTAACATTTAGAAAATGTAAGCCAAAATTGACATCAGTTTAAAATGTACTCATTGAAGTCAAGGCAAAATTCTTTATTATGGGCATGCAAAACATTTGGGAAACATAGGCACTCATCTGCGCATCATTCTGAACAAAGGCATGTAGCAATTTGCTATTTTACAATATATGTTAGCTATTCAGTCCAGTTAACTGTCCCTTTAATACATGCTCAGAAAAATCTACTAGTAGTTACATACCTGATCACTCAAGTATCTTTATTCTTACTTGGAGCTAAAATAAAGCCTAAAAGTTACAAAGATCAAAGTTCTGATTTAGAGAGTGAAATATATTTAGCTGCCTTTGAACATTTATTAAAATTTGTAATCTCTCTCCCATTGCCTTCCATGGGACCTGAATATGCACAACTAAGTTTTTGAAAAATGTGATGCACAGCTTTAGGCTGGCTTCCTCGCTGCACCAGCTAGTGCTTAGTGAGCCCGAGAACGTCGACTAGCTATTCCAGAGCACAAAGAAGTTTCCTCCTAGCAGGTGCATGTCCTTTTCCGTCCCCTGCCATGAAAGGGCAGGAAAAGTTATCAAGAAAACGGAGCCAGGCTCTTCACAGAGGCACACAGTGGGAAGACAAGAGACAAAAACATAACTTGAAAGAAGAGAGGTTTCCACTGTTAGGACATTCAAGCATTGGAACAGATGACCCAGAAAGATTGTGCAGTCTCCGTCCTTAAAGGTGCCCTGTGCAACCTGGTCCTTCCAGCCTGAATTATTCTGTGATTCTACGACTTCACGTCTTCCTTCTTTCCCATGTTTTGGCTCTCATTAACTTCTATTTCATTCACATTTTCAGGCACGTCTACATAAGGAAAAATGGGAAAAATAGGCACCAAACAGTTTTTTAAAGTCCTTGCATAAATTCAGATTAGTATTTTTGCCTTTTTTAACCATACATACCCAGCTATATTACTGTTCTTTGTAGAACAGTGATACAGATACTCAGTGACAAAACTTTTTTCTTCTTTTGCATCTTCCTTTTGTCCAGCAGGGTCTTAATATTCCCATGGATCCTACTCTCGAGTGGCTTCAATTTGGAAAAGCTCCAAAATTTTTCTTGATACATTTCTTATTTAATAGTAGATACAAATTTCTTTAGGATTTAAAAATTTCCTGTGGAAGCAACTAGTCTAAAGAAGTGGGGGCAAAAAGCGACTGTCAGTTAGGTGCAGCCAAACCGTTTGATTCACTAAGTTTCAGTGAGATATCATGAGCCTCCAGGAAGCTTCCAGCGAATGCTTGCTTACTCGCTGGGACTTGGTGTACTCTAATCTTTACTTCCTGGATATATCTCCTTCCAATACTTGTCTACGTTCTGCATTAGGATAACGATGATGGATTTCACTGCAATCAGTTGTATTAGTTCTGTCCTCGAGATGCCAAGACTATGGGAATCTACAACAGCCAAGATGAGACCATGAGCTTCCTTACTTTGGTTGTGTCAGGAAGGCAAAATCTGTCCCACCAAGGGATGTGAACACATTTGCATGCTGAAACTATGCTTTCTACATAACAAATTATCTATTCCCAGAATAGATGTGCAAATGAAAAACTGATCCAGGTCCCATCTTCTCCTTCAGCATAAGAGAACAGATGAGGCATGAGAGACTATTGCTACTGATTTGTTCCACTGCTTGCAGAAGTAACAGCTCATTTCTTTCTGTATTATGCAAAGGGTCAGAAGTGATGGAAGGAAGCAGAGCCATGTTTCCATCTCCTGACATATTCAGAGGTGTAACTAATCACTGTACTGGGAAACGTACAATGTGATACATAAAATATATCCTGGGGAAATAAAACATCAGAAGGTAAAGAGTATCTCCAAGAAATGCGCTCTTCCAAAAAAATGGGGTGAAAGTGTTCAGAGTCATTAGAGACTACTAGTGACCAACACAATTAAAAGACAGAAAGTTAAGTGAGAAATAAAGCTAGCCAAATTAAGAAAAACATATTTTACAACCATGTTTCGGACCTTCTTTCCTTATAGAATATAACTCGGGAGCAAAATACAAACAGTCAAGTTAAAGACAACAACATTTCTAAAAATGGGGACTACCCTCTTCCAAGTATCTGAAAACTCCTAAATGCCATTAGCCTTTAATGAACTCCAAACCTCTCAGACAGCTTTAAAAATCTTTTTTTTCTGTTAAAACAATTACAAATTTAAAACCTCTTAATTCTTACATGGTAAGCTGTTCTGAAATATTACACAGTTACAATACTGGCAGTAACAGAATAAATGATTAACAAATTATTCAAAGATGAAGGCTGCAATATTGTTGTCTACATGGGACGATAATAGTAAAAGTATTAGTCTCCTAGACGTTAATGTTGACTTATCAGTTATCATTTCAATATTACAAATGCGCATAAAAAATGGAGTATAGAAGATCTTTAAAATAATAAAAGAAAGAAAATGAGACAAAACTCAAGCTTCATTTCTGTTCACTTCTTTGCAGAACTTCCTATAGAAATAGAACTATTTTACATCTTTATTGAAAGTTTCGTAATAAGGAGAAGTAAAAAAACTAATTACAATCATTAGTAATTGTAGTAATTTTGTATTATTAGGAGTTGTGACCCTGTGGGGGAAACTACATTTTGCCAATATGAAATACTATACATAATAAAAGAAAAATCATGACTTGCAGCCACACAGATTCAACAGAAGTGTAGTAATTTCTACTGCAAGGGCTACTAGCAATCTCTGTTATGAAACTGTGTATTACACATTGCCCAGTGGGAGCCAGATAGGCAAAGTCTGTTTACTTATGTATTTGGCATAATTGAAAACAAACAGGTGTTTGTTAGGATATCATTATTCAAGGAGCACCACTGCAAAATAAGATTTTTCAAAGGGATTGACTCATGAGACAAAATGGAAACAGCGAAGTATAGAGCTTAGCTAGCTATACAATGACTATCTGGGGATTTAATAATAGTGGAAATACTGTACGATGTAAACAGCAACCCCAGAAATAAATTTCCTAGGATAGAACTCAGTGAGACAATAGGAGCAACAGGGTAAGCTTAAGAAAGGCTTTATTTACAGTAATTTCCAGAAAATAAAAAACAAACACTGCCCCCCCTTCTCCAAAAGAATCTCCCTAACAATGAGATAAATGAAATGTCTAGATATTTTCCTAGGAAGATAATTTTGGTCAAAGATTGGTATTTCAGTCAAAAAGGAATAGTGCATTAAAAATGTACTATAGGGAACATTGATTTAGACAGTAAGTATTTCATCTCTATGTTACCACAAGGATTAAAAAAAACACTGCTTGGGAAAGGTGACATAGTACAAAATATTCTTGGAGCATCTGGAAGAAAATGCACATTTAATTGATAATTTCAGTTCCAATTTAAAACACATCATATATTTGTTAGTTCACTATATATTTGTAGGCTCCTGATTTGAAAGCAGATTCCATATTTATACTGTAAAAGCAGCAGCTCTACGGATGATATTCATAGCTTTTGACATAAGAGAGTTACATGACTGTAGAGATGATCGCTATGGAACCCTTTTGTCCTCATTCCTGGTTTTAATTAATAAAAGAAATTAATTATTTTATAGTCTAGACAAGCTTTAAAAGAGCAGAATTGCATTCGAGATTGAATACAGTCTTCATAAAGAGCATATCCGATAATGATGTTAAATCAGACAATGTAAAATATTTTCTTTAGAGAGGACTGCTAAGAACACATAGCAAATGCCGCTGTTCACCCTAATTCAGCAAGCAGCAATTACTATTTCATTCGGCTAGAGGCTTCTTCATCTGACTAGATTTTAGAATGGGCATCAGTGGTACCACCAATACAATCTAATACACCCTCAGAAGAATCGGTTCCACTTCTGCTGCAGGATTTTACAGGAGCCATTGCTACTCCAAAATTTTGTACAGAAATACGGCTGATGGCAGCATCTATCATTTCAGCTTGCCTTTGCTATTTTTATTAGGGCAGCTTTTTATAATGCAAAATACCCACTTACACACAGTCTTTTTCCTTTTGTAAATAAAGACTTCATATCTATTTTGTTCCTGACACAATCAAACAGTGGCATGATATGAGACTTTTTGTTTATTAAATCGAAGTTGTGACCAGGAAGGAAAAAGAAACACAATTTCATCTTCTACACAAAATGCAGAGTGCACAACAGTACTGGATTCCCAAAAATTTCAGTGTTACTGTAGAACTTTTGACCGTTTCAGTAGAACAGTGCAATATACGCTGTCTTTTTTTTTTTTACATAAAATATACTTTGAGGATAAAGATGCAACTAAAAACACCGAATTATCTGTTGACGTTACTTACACACGTTTATAAATACCGCATTTACAAGAGCTATTGGGAAAGTTTACAGTTTTAGGGGGCTTAATTCACATTAATGTGCTTTTGTCACAAAACAAAACAAAACAAGAGCCATAACACTAGCTTACTTGTGGATGTGTATACTAGTGAACTGGGGGCACTGTACACGGGAGATCCCTCCTGGTTTGCCTGGCACAGCAGCACCCTGCCTACAAGAAAGAGAGAGAGAGTGGTATCTGGTTTTGGAACACTCGAACTAAACCTCAAGTTTTATCTCAAAACAGAAATAAAGTCACAACCGGAGCAGTGCGGTGAAGCAGGGGCACTTTTTGTCCTTTGACTTCAAAGCAGAAAGAGCCCCAATAAACATGTACAATTTTACATTCGACAAAGCAAAACACAGACATCCCTCAAAATGCAAACACCCTTTTTATCACGCGGGGAAGCTGGTGCGCGCCCTGAGCGCTTGCAGCGCACAGCGGTCCCTCTCCCAGCTGCTCTCTCTCCCTCTCTGCCCTGTCTCTCTGAACCAGAAGCTGCCCGGTTAGCTCTGCTGCTGACGGGAGCCATCAACCCCCCCACACCACCCGGCTACTAACTTCTCCTCTCCCTAACTTTGGCTGAAACGAGAGGCTACTCAAGCAAACACCGCAGAGAACTCAGACCGCACAGCTCCCCCACGCAGACGTTAGGCCCAGTACGATCTCAGTGGTATCGCTTAAATTAACGCTGGTGCAAGTAAAAATTGAAATATTACTAATACATGTGAAGATTTCAGTATTTTTTGCTCAAATGAGAAATACATAAACATAAGTTACTTTCCAGTATATAAGCTGGATTCAGGATTAAGAACAAAACCAAATAAAAGAAATGAAGCAATTTTTTTTCTAAGAAAAAAAGTAAAAGTAATAACCAAATCCATTTAAAACAACACTTTTGCAATGCATGTTCATTTTGAACAAATGACAGAAGTTTAGGCTTATTTCCTGGTTTTTTTTAAAATGGAGTTAAATAAAATGCCTTACTGTTTCAATATCTTTCTTAAAATTATAGCTTAGCAGGCTTAGCTGAATATAGATTGAACATTGATTAGAGGTAGAAACAACTATACTTTCACACTAGGAAAAAAACTTCCGCACCTCTGGAATACAGTCCACCAGGAAGAGCAGGATGTGACACATCTGTTTTTCAGATATATAAGTGCATATATCTGTATATACACACACACACAAAATTATATATATACATGTACTGACATACTTCAAGCTGTCAGGATTTGTGAATCACACAATTTCAAAAATATTAAACTTACATGAAGATTTGTGAGACACTAGAAGTTGTGCATTGACTTATAAGCAATGTAACTCAATAGAGTTGAGTCAAATATGTTTGGAAGGATAAGATTAATTACAAATGGTAGGCATGTTTTCCATACAGTATTACAAGAGCAATTCTCAACTTACATTCAGTTACCAGACCAGAGTTCTTTCAAAAAATGTTTTTAAAAAACTTCTTTCATTAACCAGTTCTTTGATTATTGCTTGCAGCTGTCAGTTGAAGTAGAAATACAGGAAATACTGAAGGAAAATAATTCTTGTAATTTATGCAATTTAACTAAGACTGTGAGCACTGGAAATCTCATGAAATGTCATGCTTCTAACCTTCCCGGACAATAGCATACCCTTAACTAACAGAATTTGGAAATGCTTGCTTTTTTCCAGACATCCACTACTAATCTGAAAGATGAAACAAGCTAAAAAAACCCTTTTCCTTACTTTAAGATAGCATATAGTTGACTATATCGATATATATATCTCTCCCAGCCTTCCAAAAAAATCCACAACTGGAAGCCGTTAAATGAACATATGCCTATTAAGATCCTAACGGCAAGCATCATTTTCAGGCTAGTAGATAAACAGGCCCTATCAACACACTTGACACTAGGAATGTGTACATTGGAAGATGGATGTATTTAACACCACAGATGCCTCAAAACTTGTGTTACCACAGAAGCCTGAAAATGAAAGTGAGCTGAAGGCATTCATCCAGCTGAGTGAAATGCAGAAAGGAATTATTAAAATCAGTAATTTGCATTAGGTTTTAAGAACAATGTAACTATAATGATTTCAAATATATTTAGTAAATATATAAAGTTTTTTAGAAATTGAAGATTATAGTTTATGTTATTCAACATAAATTCTAGATGATACTTTGCTTGTTCCATGGTCCATAGGTATTTCCCTATTCTTTGCAGCATTCTTACATTTTTTCTGATTTCATCTCATACAAATCTAATTTACCCTACTCGAGTCTTCTAATTTGTAATGAAGGTACTTCAAAACAGATGCTTTTTTCATCCATGCTACTAGATCGTATTTAATTTGTTGCATAGAGCTTTCTAATTATATTTTGACAATCTGCCTTCAAATTTGTACATAAAATTAATACGAATACCTAAAACATTATTATTAGATTTTGTTTGAAAAATATGGAACTTTTTAATCTACTTTTGTGAGAAAAGATTATTTCTGCTGTAGCTAATTTTGGTATTAAAAATATTTAAATTGTATTTAATACAACTGGGGAAAGATTGAATTATTTACAATAAGTTCTTCTGGATAAACTTCAGAACATTGGAACAATATATAAATTCCCTAATGGGAAAAAAAAAAAAATTTTCCTCTAGAATACTAAATTCTAGCATGACAGAATAAAGGGTGGCTTGTTTTGTTTTGTTTTAAGAGAGAGGATTTTAAAATAAAGTTCTTAATATTTCTGTTCAAACTGTAATTTAATAATATCATGGAGCTGATGAACTTCAAAAAATTACAGTCATGCAAGAGTTCATCTTTAATTCTGCAATGCCTTCTGTACCAGCATCTGTAAGGCTGGTATTTTCTCCTTAAGAACAATCTGCATGCTTTTTTGCATTTCTCTAATACAAGCATCTACTTGTTTGGTCACAGCAGACACGTGACCAGTGATACAGGATTTTGGAGGTCATCAGCAGAAAGCTCCTCCTGCCTCACTCCGTCAAAAGGATCAGAAAAATATTAGTGTATATATATGAAGAGAGTATTCAGTACAGGCACACGGGAAAGCTTTAGACAGACCAGTGGCAGAAGGGAAACTGAGGCAGCCATGCTGCTAGCTGTAACGGGGGGAGAGTAGTCTGCGGTGGCTGAGCCAGGCCACACCAGGTGGCTGTGCTGCGGCAGGGCACGGGGGTCTCAGCTGAGCACTGCTGCAGGCTTGCAGAGATCCCCCAGACTGATTCACCACTCATCCTTGGCGTACAGCCTGGCAGCACGCACAAAAACATACTTTTCAAGATCAAAAAATATTCCCACCCATACTTCTCTTCCTCCAATGTTTTCTCCTACAGTCCATGATTAAGAATGTACTGTTTGATTAGGTTCTTCGTTGAAGCACTATAGTTATTTTGAGAAAATAATTATTCTAAAAATATTCAGGGCTGTGAGGAAAATTATGTGAAGTCATTAACATTTTTAGAATACCAAAAATTCAGTTCCCAGTGGTTCCAAGATATTTGACTAAAAGTATTTTTCTAATTTTTTCATACTTTCAAAAATAAATTTTTGTGTATAGTTCTTACTTACATGATTTATATAAATTAATCTACAGAGCATAAGTGGAAATACCAGTGTACTAGTGATGATGCACAGAATCCTCACTGGCTCATACCTGACATATGACAAAGTTCATTGTATTTCTCAAATACTCAGGTAGCTAAGAAATACCCAGGATCAACAACAGGAGGACTTTCCAGTAAGTTATAAAGGATTTTAAATCACTTCTGTTAAAAATAGCTTTTAGGTTTTACTGGACCCACTGTGTAGCCGGCATCACAGACAGCTTAAAAGTAAAGATCTGGAATAAGTTTAAAAGAATTTGTGCAACTAGTTGGAATCTCTTATGGCATCCTTTGTGGAAGTATAAATTAAAACATTTTCAGCAGAAAAAAAAATCATACCATTAGTTAAAATTATGCTGCTGATACAGAATTAACAGTGTTGCAAGGCCTTGATCATGTCAAGGAAGTAGATGAAACTTTTAGAAACCTTCGCTACCAGAACTGTATAAAGTTGATATATGATTACTGAGAACCTGAGTTTACAATGCATCACCTCCCAGTATAGATGGCTTTGCTAACGAACAAAAAGTTTCCAATTTACCATGCTGTTATTTATCCCCCCAGGATTTTGGGGGATTTACAAAAGGGAAGAAGACAGAAGTTGCTCTCTCCAACACTCCAGGGCAAACCCCAGCAAGTTTCTAAGTGAGAAAAAAGGGGAAAAACTGATTTCCTGCTTTCACTTTGGGAATCCTAAAAACCACAGCTTCATATAAAGCTCTTCAGACAGCTCCAAAGATGACAGTGGTACTGAGTTCTACATAGGGTACAGCTACTTCCATCATAACAAGACGGTAATCACATAAGCATTTTCAGTGGCAGAAATTAATCAGGCCAATATCCTGGGCTGGTCTACGTTGGGTATTAGTGCACAGGTAGCTAAAATGAGAGTTTATAATATAGGAACTAAGGAAGTTACTACATACAAGGAGATTTAGTGAAGATTACATCACTCTAATCCATTGTGCACTTAGCTTCCCAGGTGAAGCAGCTCTTCTTTATAATATTTATTCTATTGTGTTACCAGTAAGAGCTTCTTACTGCTTTTGGCAACTAAGTACCAGTTCATACATTCTATAATACTATTTACCAAAAAAAACCCAAACAAACCCACAGGAAAAAGTGAATAAAAGCTATAAATATCTGTGTCCCATTTTGTCTATATTATTATAAAATGTTATTTTATTACTCTAATCTAAAAGCTGCATTATTTATTAAATTCAGTGATTGTTATTTCATTTTCCCTTTCTCCCAATACAGCTGGATGTTACATAGCCCAATCTTCTCTCAGTCATTCTGATCACTGTTTTTCTTTGTACCTTTTGCAACAACTATTATTCCTATACACTTAATTCCTCTTCCATATACAATGCATGAAGAAAACTACAAGGCTGCATTTCTCATCAACGTATCAGATTTGCTAGCGTATCAAAGATCCTCATAAACAATCCATGCCTGCTCTTGATTTGCTGTTCTAAAAGTGTAATTCAATATTGGCCTTTCCAGACAGAAATAGCATTATCTTTGTTCGGGTCTGAAATATTGTTCTATAAT